ACCTAATATGTTAGTGGCATTTAGGATAGCTTTGATTTTGAGGCTGAAAATCCCTGTAAAAACATTCTCTTATTTCTGTGTTTGCTTTTTAGACATTTTGTCCATTTGAGAACTTTCTATTAGTTTCTCTTCATGAGATAATTTATTTTTACTATGATTTCACTCCAAATATTTTTCTGTCGATCATTATACTCTGAATTTTCTTGTGCTCTTCAACTTTTATATTTGTAGTTAAAAGTTATCAAAAAGCTTTGTTTGCTTTTTTTCCCTTAGAGGGTTCCTGTGTTGTGTTGTGTGTGTGTGTGTCTAATGTCTTCTGAGAATAGACCTGTACAGATAGGAAATTTACAATGAACATTTGAAACAATCTACCAGTAGTTTTCTTCTACTCTTTGTTGTAAAATTTTGAACTCTTATGTTCATATCCCAAATTGTCTTTTCCGAATACTAAACACTATAGGAGTTTTCTTCCTTTATTTTCTTCTAATAATTTTATAGTTTCTAGTCTTTGTTCCCTATTGAATTGACTTTTTCCTGCACTGTGGGTTTAGGATAAGATCTTATGTGCTGGACAAGAATTAACCACTTAATTACTTTTATTTTACTTTGTAGATGATATGAAGGGCAAATTATGCCATCTGATTTAACAGAAGTCTACAAAGTTATTATAACAGAGATGCCATGTATAAGAGTAAACATGTAGAACAGGGGAACTGACTACAAAGTAGAAGCCAGTCCACATATGTAATCCAATGGGTTTTAGCAAAAATGTAAATAGCTGATAGGAGGAAAAATTTCCCAATAAATGATGGGCAAACTGTAGGCCCATGCATGAGAGAATAAAGTTAGACAATGTAACTTACTTACAAACATGAATATCTACACAGTATTCAGTTGTATGTGCTTATATTACATTTTCTTTCTCTATTATATTGATTCATACCTGGTTTTTTTCTTTTCCCTGTTGATTTTTGCACGGTAGCCTTTTATTTTAATGTAATCCTATTTATCTCCTTTTGCTTTGATACAAATTGGAGACACACATATGAAATTAAAATGTAACTATGAATTTAAATGCACAAATGAGATGTTGAAAGTTGAATAGTATTCTGAGTAGATATACAGTGTTTGGGTTTCTCTGCCTAGTTTTTTTCTTTTAGCACAATATCTACCAGATTTGTTCTCATTTCTCCTCAGTGTGAAAGAAGTAGATTTAAATATAAGCATGATATGGAATTTTAAAGACACCAATTTTAAGTTTACAGTTTCAATTCTTAACAGCTTTAATATATACCTTGATTTACAACAAATTACTTTTTTCTGAAGTATTTCAAGCTTTTAATTTTTTTCTTTTCCTACCCTTAACTATAATATGTGAATATTATGCCCATGGCAAGACTATGAACATTTCTCTAGTGTTTGATCATTTATTCTCTATAATCAATGGAGTTTCACTTAAATCTTGTGAATATGCACCTTATTTGTTATGTGACTTTTTTCTTCCTTGCTTGGATATTGCTCCACTCTCTTCAATGAGATCAACCTTATCATCAGAGTACCTATGTGTGTTTATTTTGTTGTCTACATTCTATACAGCACAGGCACAAGTCCACACTACACTATTCTTGCTTTCATTCTCTCACTCTATACACATTTATCTCCTGGGTTGCCAGAACAGTGCAGATCATGTTACTGTTATATCAGTAGTCAAATCTTACTCTGAAGTAAAATGTTTAAGAATGAACACACTTCTTGGAATCAACTTCGTATTCCCTAAATTATGAAGCCAGTTGTGCACTTTCTGAGCTTCCCCTTCATAATTTGATTCTGCTGATCAGATCCCTGTGTGATGAACAGGGTTCTCATTCTTTTTAAAACTTTTCTGGATCCCTGCCTCTGCATCGTAACTTTTAATTGCTGTCTTTTCCTCAACTTGTTTTGTTATTTATTACTTTATTTTTATTTTTAGGCTTCTGGATGTGCACTACATGTGTTCCCTCCACTCTAACTTTGTTAAAATTTATTTTTGGAAAAGTTTGCAAAAACTGGAATATTATAAATCATTCAAGTATTCTGTCTTGTTCTTCTTCTGAGGGGGAATCAAGTGAATACAATAAAATGCTCATTATAAGTGTTTTATTTTCCTTTCTGAAGAGTATGTGGAATTTCCAGGCTAGTTTTAAGAAATTTTCTTTTCAAACAGCATTTTGAGTGCAATACATGTGGTCATGTTAATTAATAGTCTCATGTCATAATTTCATTAATTTCTCACACAGATGTTCGTGGTTGAATGAACATAAAACTACACATTGACAACTGGAAAAGTACTGAAAATTCAGTTCCATTGCCAAAGTTTCCATTTCCTCCCTCATAATATCATACTAATAAATTCTAGAAATTAAAAATGTACAACAGATGAGCTCATATTCAAGACCAGCTGTCCTCTCAAAACCTCTGTTTAGTGAGAAAAAGATGTTTTTATGATGAAAAAATACTAGAAGCTTTTGTGACATGGATAGTATCGAATGCTAATTTTTTAGGTGCTTTTCATCTGTAGCTAATTTTTCACTGTTTATATGGTAGTTGTATGTGAAGAGCCGCAGATATGAAAGGTTTTTCTGAGTTCAGGTTTGTAGTGAGGCTAAATTTCTGGAAAAGTAAAGTCTATAAAGATACCTTCATCATTTGTGAAATACACAACATAATAAACTCAAGAAACTTCAGCATACAATACAGTTTTGTGTTGAAAATAAAAGTCAGAAGGTATAATACATTTGTTTCTATTTTGGCAACATTAGGGATTTGGATCTTTTCATTTGGTTTGTTTTCTGTGGAGCTGAAGCATTTTGCAACCCCATAGGAAGAATAACAATATCAACCAACCAGACTCCCCAGAGCTCCCAGAGTGTAACTCACCAAAAAAAGAGTACATATGGAGGGACCCATGGCTCCACACATATGTAGTAGTAGATGGCCTTGTCAGACATCAATGGGAGGAGAGGCCCTTGAACCCATGAAGGCTCGATACCCCAGTTTAGGGGAATTCCAGGGCAGTGAAGGTGTGGGTGGATAGGTGGGTGGGGAAGCATCCTCATAGAAGCAGTGAGAGGGGATGATGGAATATGGGGATTCTGGAAGGAAAACCGGGAAACGGGATAACATCTGAAATGTAAATAAAGAAAATACCTAATAAAAGAAGAAAATCCCAAAGACCCACTAAATGTACCTTTATGAACTGTTACTCCAGTTCAAGACATTGGCTTTATACTGTTTACTCTTTCTTATCTGTATGTTGATAAAATCATGAGTACAACTCCTAGTAATGTTTCACTATCCTTCAATGCCATAGAGCTGCAAGGAATTTCAGACTTATCATCTAGAATCTCAGTCAAATATTCAACAAATTAAACTATCAATTTTATTCTCAACAAAACAGTAAGATGAATAAAAGTGCTCATACTATGCCTGCCCTTTTTTAAAAATGAAATAACAATTGTTATCATGAATTGCATTTTTCTGTATTTGTCTTAAAAAAAAAGACCAAGAAGAATAAAAATAAAAGATAAGCAGAAGCAGGAAGAAGGAAGGAGGAGGAGGAAGAGGAAGAGGAGGAGAAGCAGAAGCAGAAGAATTAGATGCAGAAGAATTAGATGCAGAAGAAGCAGATGCAGAAGCAAGAGAAGGAGCAGCAGAAGTAGAAGGAAGGAGGAGGAGGGGGAGGAGGAGGAGAGAAGGAGAGAAGGAGAGAAGGAGAGAGAGAAGGAGAGAAGGAGAGAGAGAAGGAGAAGGAGAAGGAGAAAAGGAGGAGAGGAGGAGGAAGAAGAGGAGGAGGAGAAGAAGAAGAAGAGGAGGAGGAGGAGGAGGAGGAGGAGGAGGAGGAGGAGGAGAAGAAGAGAAGAAAAGAAAAGAAAAGTCATTTTTTGCCTGAGTTGCCTGAGAATCATACAGCATTCAGATGTAATATTAGTATTTCTTCTCCTTTCAACTTAAAAAGCCAGCAAATATATGAACCATTAGCTTTGGGAAGACAATATGCCAGGCAGGTTTTCAGAGAAGGAGTGGATTTATTATCAGTTTCTTCATTTTTCCCACTGGTAACTGCAAATAATTTAAAAGAGAAACAAGCAGAAATTTTTCACTTAAGAAGATGACAGGTATAATGCTAGAGTTTCCATTTGCTTGTTTGAGTTCCTATAGATTTTGTCTAAACTACAAACTCAATTTTAGGTTCCACTGTTTATATTTAAATAAGTCCTCAGTATATATGTAAGGTTAGACTGCTTGTACTTTTATCTTAATTATTCTCACAAAAAGAGAGGTTTAACAAGTATAACATGGCTAAAAATAACACAAATCTTGTACATTTCCATTGGCTTTTTAAGTGTAAAGATGTAATTTCCCAATAGGGCATTAGATTAAGGATTCAGAGAGATGATGTTTTTCTAATTACAAATACATAAATATATACTGCTGTTACTTCAAGACCAAAAATTGGCTCATTTTCAACATGGGAACACTTAACATAATTAGTCTTACATTAGTTTTGTGAGTAAAAATTAGTATTTTAACCACAGTATTATGCTAATATGTTTATAATTTGCATTTATATTTTGTGGTGTTAGCCATAAATACTACTTTTATAAAAATAGTTACAAAAGTCAAGTGAGATTTAATGGTAATCAAGCAAGCAATTTCCTACCCCTCCTCGTTCTGAAGCAATTTCAGTAAGTATAATTTTAATGTTAATATTGCTAACTACCACTCTCTGTGCATTATGACTGTGTTCATGCAAAGATACACACATTTCTTCACCTGGAACAAAATTTTGCTGCCTTAGGAAGATTATGAATTAATGAAGAGTGTGTGGATATCCACTCCATAGATGTTGTACCATGTTTATAATCACACCATATTTTGTTTGCTTCTTCTTAACATAGAAATTTTAGACCCTGTTGCCATTTTTAAAGAATTCACAACGGCTTCATTTTGGATCTTTACAGGATGAGTGTGGCCCTTCTGTTTTATGACTACATGCCTCCCTCTTTTTGTTTGAGTAAAAATGTCTTCCTTGTGGCTATAGTGATGGTTGAAGCGTTAAGAGCAGTGTCTGCTCTTCTAGAGTACCTGCATTCACTTCTCCACCTCCCCAGTACAGTTTACAACCATACCTATCTCCAGATCTGGGGAATCTAATGCCCTCTTTTGTCCTTCATGGGCACACACATGGTTCACAGACATATACAGAAGCAAAACACCCAAACACATAAAACAAAACCAAATATATCATTTAAAATGTTTTTCTAGATAAAGAAAAATCACAAAAAGTACATTTTCTAAATTCTTACATATCTGAGATTCCCTTATTTTGATTTTATATTTCATCGATATGCCATTTGCCAGAGAAGTCAGCATTCAATGTCATTTTCTAAGTTGTTGAGGATGTTCTCTCTTGATCTCTCAGATTTTAGAACTGCTAACAAGGAATCAAAGGCTAACAGACTTTTACTGCAGGTTAAGGATGGGCCAGCTATATCTTGAGAAGATTTTTGTTGGCCCGTGTTCTGAAATTAAGCAGCTATAGGTTGATGTGAGCATTTTAGTTTAAAGACAACGTCCATTCTGCACACTCCTGTACTCAGCCTCAGTAGAGCTCATTCTCAGTAACTAACATACTCATATTCCTTTGTCACTTTTCTTCCCTTTTGGGGTGTCAGGTGGAATGTGAATATGTGTGGCTATATTCATTCAAAATTTAAACCATATCATGAACTGGAGGTTTGCAAGCAGGCTGGGAATTTCAAGATTAGAGAGTAGACAGATGCAGTGCCTTGTGGCACCAATTTCTTACTTGTGGAGGGCAGCTCTTTTCTGTGTCTCACATGGCGGAAGGGTTCCCAGCTCTTATAAGGCCCTAATAATATCATTACTGATATCACACTTGGGGTTAGGATTTCAACATAAAAATTCTTTGGGTGTCACAACCATATTGTCCACAGTTGTAAAATTCAAATATTGATGTTGTTACCTCTTTTCTTACAAAATATTAATTCCATTGTTTTGGTCTTGCAGACCAAACACTGCATACTTGCTAGACTTGGTGTATTAAACATCATTTTATTTTTGTATACTTCTGTAGACAGTTTCCCAGCATGGACAGGCGTTGGTGAGGCCTCTCTTGCTGATTCAAAGATGTCTATCTTCTGACTGTAGCCTCAAAAGGTGGGAAAGGGGTCAAAGAAGAGAGAGAGAGGGAGGGAAGAGGGAAAGTTCCTCCGTGTAAGTGAAGCAATCTCATAGCAGCAGGACTCCTCCTTTGATTTTTATATAACCTTGATTACCGTATTAGCATCCTCTTTGAGTGGATGATGAAAATTAGCAAACCAACAAAATAGATATAGGAAGGCCATGGGGGAGTGCATAGTAGCATGCTACCTTTGTTCTCTGTTTATCTCTGTGTTTGTTCTATCCTTCTTCTTCCCCAGTGTTTACTGTTTGGATATACGAGGGATGGAACAGATTCATAGGGGTGGATTATTACATTTTCTCTGCTGTTACTTGAGTACCTTGGAATGACTACACTGAGCACAGGTAGTATAGGGATGACTACTGTGAGCACAGGTAGTATAGGGATGACTACGGTGAGCACAGGTACTGTAGGGATGACTACACTCAGCACAGGTACTGTAGGAATAACTACACTGGGCACAGGTAGTATAGGAATGACTACACTGGGCACAGGTAGTGTAGGGATGACTACACTGGGCACAGGTCATGTAGGGATTACTACACTGAGCACAGGTAGTGTAGGAATGACTATACTCAGCACAGGTAGTATAGGGATGACTACACTCAGCACAGATAGTATAGGAATGACTACACTCAGCACAGGTAGTATAGGGATGACTACCCTGAGCACAGGTAGTATAGGGATGGCTTCAATGGGCACAGGTAGTATAGGAATGACTACCCTGAGCATAGGTAATGTAGGGATGACTACACTCAGCACAGGTAGTGTAGGGATGACTACACTGGGCACCAATAGTATAGGAATGACTACACTGGACACAGGTAGTATACATGTAGAAGGGTGTACAGAGTACAGATGGGCAGCTGGCACTGCCAGTTGCTCTTCCTAGTTTCCAGTTGTGGAGGAATAAGACAAAAGAGAACTTTTTCATTGAAAAGAAAATCTCATATACTTAGGTACACTTAGACAAAGTCATTTAGTCCTAAACTACTTCTAATTCCCTTTGCTTGAGACAATCCACCCTTTAACTTCAGTTCCATTTATTGTGTTCTCACAGAAGCAGACATCTTTCTCTTGCTGTTATTTCAGTGACTGACTCAGAGATAGGAGGAAGGAAAATATATCTGTGTCTAGTCAGTCATGCAAAAATATTTGAAAAATTCCTTGAGACATTTATTAAATTTTCCCATTATATAAACCTGAAACAAATTAATACATATGTGCAGAATGGAATTGCTTGCAGATCACTCTGGTGATTGCTGTGGTCAAGCCTTGTAGCACATGAACAATTAAAGAAAAGAAGGGGTAGTGCATCTTACCATTGACATCTCATATACCAGGAAGTATTTTCAGAACTTAGAATCTAAGAAACCTATAAGTTTTATAACATGCTTTACTCTATTAACTTATGCTAGGAAATTGAGCCTATGACTTGCTCCAGGTGAAACAGCTACCAAACCACCAAATCAAGACACAGTCTGCCACTGTTTTTTGAGTCCACAACTTAATTACATTGATGCTGTTGGACATATATTCACAAGACAAATATATTTGAAAACTTAAAATTTTTGATGTGGATGTTTATAGACAACCATTGGATTGAGCACGGGGACCCCAATGGTGGAGTTAGGGGAAGGGCTAAAGAAACTGAAAGGGTTTGCAATATCATATGAAGAGCAACAGTATTAACCAACTAGATCCCACAGAGCTCCCAAGGACTAAACCACCAACCATAGAATACACAAGGAGGAACCTATGGCTCCAGCTGAATATGTAGCAGAGGATTGCCTTATCTGGCATCTATGGGAGGGGAGGCCCTTGATCCTGTGGAGGCTAGATGCCCCAATGTAGAAGAATGCTAGGGCAGTGAAGTGGGAGTGGATTGGTGGGTAGAGGAGCTCCCTCATAGAAGCAGGGGGGAGGGAGAGGCAATAGATGTTTTGCAGAGGGAAAACCATGAAGGAGGATAACATTTGAAATATAAATAAATAATATAACCAATAAAAATGTTCTGTTGGTTAATGATCACTAATACCCACATAATAGTCAGAGCAAATTTATTAGTATGTTTGAAAGGGGCCTAAATGGAATGGAATACAGTTTAAGAGCAATAACCAGTGATAACCAGTTCGTATTTCAGAATGACATATAATACTTTCAGGCAAGACTCTATGATATTTGTCCCAGTTTTCCCAGTTAATGTTAGAATCAGAAGAAAACATTTTAATGGTTTGAAGTAAATAGAGGATTTGTTGGAACTATCTTTAGCAAAAATAGCAATAAGGAGAAGAAAAATGCTGAGCATAATCAGACCACCATGCGAATTAAATGAAGGCTCATAAATCCTCAGGATGCAGGAAAGCATGGGCAATGGGGGCAGCCTTTAATTTGGAAATCATAGTTATGGGGTGCACTTAAGTAGTGTAAAAGTTGAGTAAGGAAGAATTCCAGACTCAGTTACTGTGGGTGGCTGGAGAGAAGTTCATTAAACACGAAGTCGTGATGTCAATAAGAACCTGGAGGGATGGTTCACATTTATGGTAAAACTGCAAAGAATATTGGCAGATTTAAAATTGAGAAGCAACACATCAGAAGCGTTAGAAAACTTACATAATTAGTCTATTTTAAGGAGATTTTAATTGAGAATCACTCATAAAGAAAATATCATCATGAAATGAATTTTAGCTCCACATTCAGTTATTTGATCCTTGATTCTTTAATGTAAAATAATATAATCCAAGGATAGGGCCTTTTTAGTGTTTTAATATTTCAAGTGTATTGACAGGTAAAGTATTTGCCTCATAGGTCTTACTTTATCAAGATTGTAAGTAAATATTCTTTCCAGAATTTTTTGACAATGGGATAATGACCCAAACTCACTTTGAAACATCCAGCCTACTCTCTGCCAATGAAAAATCAATTAGATTTTTAAATTATTTTTGTACAACATTTGTACAACTGTCTGATTCTAAGCCAAGTGAACTGGCCTACGTGACAGTGGTGCAGAATGACATGGCAGTAGTCTGAGAAGCTACCTTGCTCAAGGAATAGGATCAACCTGGTTGGCCATTCCTGATTCCATTATGAAACTGATTTTTCGTTAACAGTGTACACCATGACTTAGTAGATCATCAGGTCCTATACTAAAATCACTTAATTTTTTTTGAGCATTTCTTTTAACACTGGCACTTACGTTTCTTCATAAGCTGTTTTCTATAGTTAGCAGTTTCAATTGCTGATGATGTGTATTTCATTCTGTCTTACGCTTTGCCAGCACGGGAGCTCTGGTGATCATAGATTAGGAGAGCCATAAGCATACAGAGACATGATAGCCCGACCAAATGCTCCAGGGACATAGTTGGGATGCTCGTTTCTAATCAACATAGATTCTAATCAACTCAGATTTCAGTTTTTAATCCATGACTAATTATAATTATATACTACAAGGATTTTTATTTTTCTTTGCTAAATTTTGAGAACCCTCTGTTCTTTAATAGCATTCAATTATTTAAAAAGAAAATGAAAATAAAACTCACTCAAATTGACGTTGGCCTGTGGGTGGTTGATACTTGTTATTAAATAAAATTTATTGTACATAAACTTAATTATATTTTAGTAAACAATACCAACTTTCAATGCTAAAGACTCAGTCATAAATTTCTAAACTTGTGTAAAATTTTATATATATATATATATATATATATATATATATATATTTGTGTGTGTGTGTGTGTATATGTTTGTGTGTGTGCATATATGTGTACATTGTCCTAAATGCTTTAAAAATCATTTTCAACTCTACCTTATAGATAATATTTCTGTGTTCTCTGATTACTTTTAATGGTTCGGAATTCCCTTACTTATGTCTTATTTGTAGAAATATGTCCTGATGACTTCCTAAATAGTTTCAGTGTCTTCGAATAAGCAGTCAATTCAATAATACAAT